AATAAAATAAAATAAAATAAAAAAAAACACACACACACAAACTGGTTTAGAGGGGAAATTTTAAAAAATTAAAATGGAAAGAACAAATGGAAGAAAGGGGAAGTTAATAGTAATGAATATAAATCAATAGTTAGGAGTTGTAGAAAACTGATAGGGGATACCAAGGGACACAAGAAGAAATCTATGACCAGAAGAGTTAAGAACAATAAGGAGTTTTTTAAAATATATTAGGAATAAAAAGAATCCTGACAATGGTATTAGTCCATTGCTAGATGGAAATGGTAGAATCAATAATAATGCAGGAAAGGCAGAGGTGCTCAATAAATATTTATGTTCTGTATTTGGGGATGAGACTGCAAACATCTGTTTTATCACATGGTGGTGATAGCACTCTTTCCTTTCCACTTGTCTTTGGAGGATGTGAAACAGAAACTACTAAATTTAGCCATTTTTAAATCAGTAGGTCCAAGTAATTTGCATCCAGAAAGTTTGGATGAGCTGGCTGAAGAGCTCACTGGACCATTAATGTTGATTTTCAATAAGTCATGGAACACTGGGTTTCAGGAGACTGAAAGCTAATGTTGGGCCAATTTTAAAAAAGAACAAACAGGATGACCTGGGTGATTATAGGCCTCTGTCAGCCTGACACTGATCCCGAGCAAGATAATGGAGCAGCTGATACAGGACTCAATTAGTAATGAACTAAAGGAGGCTAATGTAATTAAAGCAAATCAACATGGGTTTATAGAAAATAGATCCTGTCAAACTAACTTAATATCTTTTTTTGATGAGATTTGAAGTTTAATTGATAGAAGTAATAGCATTGACATCATATACTTAGACTTCTCTAAGATGTTTGACTTGGTGCCTCACATTTTGATTAAATAGTGTAATATAAAATTAACAAGACACACATTAAATTAATTAAAAATGGGCTGATAGGACTCAAAATGTAATTGTAAAAGGGAATCATCATCAAGCATGTGTGTTTCCAGTGGGATACCTCACGAATCAGTTCTTGGTCCTACACTATTTAACATCTTTAACAATAACCTGGAAGAAAATATAAAATCGTTGCTGACAAAGGTTGCAGTTGACTTGAAAATTGGGGGAATTGTAAATAATGAAGAGGACAGGTCACTGATTCAGAGCGATCTGGAATGCTTGGTAAATTGGGAGCAAGCAAACGACATGTTATAATATGACTAAATATATATACATCTGGGAACAAAGAATATAGGCCATACTTACAAGATGGGGGACTCTATCTTGGGAAGCAGTGACACTGAAAAAGATTTGGGGGTTATAGTAGATAATCTGATGAACCTGAGCACCCAAAGTGACGCAGTGGCCAAAAGAGCTAATGTGATCCTGAAATGCATAAGCAGGGGGAACCTTGTGTAGGAGCAGAGAGGTTATTTTACTTCCTTATTTGGCACTGGTGTGACCACTACTGGACTCCTGTGTGATCTGAAACTCAAAAAAGTGTCCTATAAAAAGTGGAAACTAGGTCATATTACACAGGTTGAAGATAAACAAATAAACTATATAGGGACAAAATTAGAAAGGCCAAGGCACAAAACGAGATTAAACTAACTAGAGACATAAAGGGTAACAAGAAAACATTCTACAAATACATTAGAAATAAGAGGCGAATGGAAGGACAGGGTAGGCCCGTTACTCAAGGAGGAGGGGGAAAACAACAACAGAAAATGTGGAAATGGCACACGTGCTAAATGACCTTTTTGTTTCAGTTTTCACCAAAAAGTTTAGTAGCAATTGGACATCTAACATAGTGAATGCTAGTGAGAAAAAAAGGTAGAATCAGAGGCTAAAACAGAGAAAGAACAAGTTAAAAAGTACTTAGACAAGGTATATGTACTCAAGTCACCAGGGCCTGATGAAATACATCCTAGAATACTCAAGGACCTGACTGAGGAGATATCTGAGGCATCTCTGAAAAGTCATAGAAGATTGGAGAGATTCCAGAGGACTGGAAAACAGCAAATATAGTGCCAATCTATAAAAAGGGAAATAAGGAAAACCTAGGGAACTACAGACCAGTCAGCTTAACTTCAGTACCCGGAAAGAAAACAGAGCAAATGGAGCAAATAATTAAGCAATCAATTTGTGAACACCTAGAAGATAAGGTGATAAGTAACAGTCAACATTGATTTGTCAAGAACAGATCATGTCAAACCAACCTAATAGCTTTCTTTGACAGGGTAACAAGCATTGTGGATGGGGTGAAGTGATAGATGTTGTATATCTTGACTTTAGTAAGGCTTTTGATACAGTCTCACATGGCCTTCTCATAAACAAACTAGGGAAATATAAGCTAGTATAAGGAGGGTGCATAACTGGTTGGAAAACCCTTCCCAGAGCATAGTTATCACTGGTTCACAGTCAAGCTGGAAGGGCATATTTTGTGGGGCCCCACAGGGATTAGTTCTGAGTCTAGTTCTGTTTAATTTCTTCATCAATGATTTAGATAATGGCACAGAGAATACACTTATAAAGTTTGCAGATGACACCAGGCTGGGAGGGGTTGAAAAGTGCTTCAGAGGATAAGATTAAAATTCAAAATGATTTGCACGAACTGGAGTAATGATCTGAAGTAAATAGGATGAAATTCAATATGGACAAATGCAAAGTACTCCACTTAGGAATGCACAATCAGTTGCACATATATGAAATGGGAATGAATGCCTAGGAAGGAGTACTGCAGAAAGGGATCTGGGGGGTTATTGTGGATCACAAGCTAAATATGAGCTCACAGTGTAACACTGTTACAAAAAAAGCAAACAGCATGCTGGGATGTATTAGCAGGAGAGTTGTAAGCAAGACACGAGAAGTAATTCTTCCGCTCCACTCCACGTTGATTAGACCTCAACTGGAGTATTGTGTCCAATTCTGTGCGCCACATTTCAGGAAAGATGTGGACAAATTGGAGAAAGTCCAGAGAACAGCAACAAAAATGATTAGAGGTCTAGAAAACGTGATCTATGAGGGAAGATTGAAAAAATTTGGTTTGTTTAGTCTGGAAAAGAGAAGACTGATAGGGGACATTATAACAGTTTTCAAGTACATAAAAGATCGTTACAAGAAGGAGGGAGGTAAATTGCACCAAGGGTGGTTTAGGTTGGACATTAGGAAAAACGTCCTAACTGTCATGGTGGTTAAGCACTGGAATAAATTGCCCAGGGAGATTCCACAATCTCTATCGTTGGAGATTTTTAAGAACAGGTTAGACAAACACCTATCTTTGGTGGGTAACTTGTGGCCCACGCCGCTTCTCGCAGTTCCCATTGGCTGAAAACAGCGAACCGCAGCCACTGGGAGCTGCGGACGGCCGTGCCTGTGGACGGTCAATGTAAACAAACTGTCTCGCAGCCTGCCAGCAGATTACACTGACAGGCCGCGTGAGGCCCGCAGGTTGCCCACCACTGGTCTAGATAATGCTTAGTCCTGCCATGAGTGCAGAGGACTAGACTAGATGACCTCCTGAGGTCCCTTCCAGATCCACAATTCTATTATTCTAGTTCCAGTGTCCACAATTCAAAAAGAATGTTCACAAATTGAAGAGGGTTTCAGAGAAAAGCCAGGAGAATGAGTAAAGGAGTAGAAAACCAGCCTTATAGTAATAGATTCAAGGAGCTCTACGTGTTTAACTTAACAAAGAGAAGGCTAAGGGGTGACTTAATTAAAGTCTACCAGAACCTACATGGGGAACCAATATTTAATAATGGACTCTTACTAGCAGAGAAAGGTATAACGTGATCTCATGTCTGGAAGTTGAAGCTAGAAAAAAATCATACTGGAAATAAGGTGTAAATTTTTAATGGTGAGTCATTAACCATTGGAGAAATTTACCAAGGGTTATGGTAGATTCTTCATCACTGACAATTTTTAAATCAAGACTGGACGTTTTTCTAAAAGATATGCTCTAGGACGAGGGGGCCAACCTGTGGCTCTGGAGCCACATGCGGCTCTTCAGAAGTTAATGTGCAGCTCCTTGTAGAGGCACTGACTCCAGGGCTGAAGCTACAGGTGCCAACTTTCCAATGTATTGGGGGGTGCTCACTGTTCAACCCCTGGCTCTGCTACAAGCCCTGCCCCCACGCCAACCCTTCCCACCCCCTCCCTCCCCAAAGCCTCCTACAGGCTACGAAACAGCTGATCAGGAGGTATGGGGAGGGGGAGGCGCTGATCAGCGGGGCTGCTGGTGAGCGGGAGGCCCTGGGAGCTAATGGGGGGCTGCTGACATATTACCGTGCAGAGCCAAGACTAAGGCCTTGGCTACACTCAGGACTTCCCAGCAGCGCTGTGAAGCGCGAGTGTAGTCGTGCTGCCAGCGCTGTAAGTACTCCACCTCTCTGAGGGGAATAGCTTTCAGCGCTGCGGGCTCTGATTACACTGGCGCTTTACAGCGCTGTACTTGCTGCGCGGGGGGGGGCGTTTTCACACCCCTGAGTGCAGCAAGTTGCAGCGCTGTACAGCGCCAGTGTAGCCAAGGACGAAGACTCGGGCGCCCTTAGCTCCCAGCCAGGCAGCCTCCCCCAGGCCACACCGCCGGCTGATCGGCTTTTCGGCTGGTGGCCGGGGCGCGTGGACTGCTGCGAACGCGCGGGCCTGTCATCCGGTGGGAGAGGCCTGCGGCGGGACCACAGGCCTGGGCGAGGCTGCGGCTCCGAGAGGCGAGGGTCAGGCCAGAGGCGCGTGCCACGGAGCTGGGCCGCAAGCGCCTCGGTGCCGGTGGTGGCGGAGCTGCACCCCGCGGAGGAACTTCCGAAGGCTGGCGGAGTCTCCCTAGCTATCATGGCGGAGTGTGCTCGGGCCCCTCCGGAGAAGCTTCCGCATCGCTCTGGAGCCGTGAGCAGTTAGTTCCGCCCCAGTAACAGACATATAGCAGTGGCGGGCTGACCCTGGGTGCGTCACGTGACCCTCTTTTATCATTCCCATGATGCCATGGGTGGGAGGAGGCTTTCCGGCCACCGTGGCGTTGGTTGCTATGGTGCTGTAACGGGCCTGCAGAATGTCGCTGTCCGCGCTGCCGCTATCTCCCGCCCGGGTATTCGCGGAGCTTTTAGCCCCGCCGCTCGGGGGTCGCGGGCGGGAGAACGAGCCGGTGCCGGGGCTCCTCGGCGGCCGCGGCACCCCAGTGCCGCCAGGGCGGGAGGTTCACGTGAGCGGCAGCGCGGAGCTGTGTGCGGCCCCGGACCGGGCGCGGGTCTCCATCCGGCTGGGGAGCAGGAAAGGGGAGGCCGAGGAGGCGCGGAGCAGCGTGAGCCGGCGGCTGGAGTACATCGCGCAGAGCGCCCGGCAGCGCGGGGTGCAGGTGAGAGCGGGCCGGAGACACCCTGCCCCCAACGGGAGCCCCCAGCTGTAAACTCCAACACCCTCCCCGCCGCGCTCCCCGCCTTAAAGCTCAGCCCCTCGGAGTGCCCAGCCCTAAACCCCACCGTCATTCCCCCCTCGCGAGTCCCCAGCCTCAAACCCGCCACTGGGTCTAATCCTTCTCCACCCCAAGTCCTAAACCCCGCTGAGCGCCCATGCCCAGCACCTACGGCTGCCAACTTTGTAATCCACAGAACCCAATACCCTTGTCCCACCCCTTCTCCGAGGCCTCGCCTCCTGCTCGCTCCATCCCCCCTTCCTCTGTCACCCGCTCTCCCCCAGCCTCATTCACCTTCACCCGGCTAGGATATGAGGTTGGGCTGCTGGAGAGTGAGGGCTGTGGCTGGGGGGGTGGGCTCTGGCGTGGGGTGGGGGATGAGGGGTTCAGGGTGCAAGAGGGGGCTCCGGGTTGAGGCTGAGGGGTTTGGAGTGCAGGAGCAGGTTCAGGGCAGGGGGTTGGGGTGTGGGAGGGGGTGCAGGCTCAGGGTATGGGCTCTGGGGTGGGGCTCAGGATGAGGGATGTGGGATGCAGGAGGGGGTTCAGGGCTGGGGCAGAGGGTGGGCAACAGGAGGGGGTTTGGGGTGTGGACTCTGTCCGGGCGGCGCTTACCTCAGGTGACTCCCGGAAGCAACTGGCATGTCCAGCTCTGAGGTGGAGGGGTAAAGGGGCTCTGTGTGCTGTCCGCAGACACTGCCCCCAATGGGCGCTCGGGGTGGGGGCAGTGCGTGGAGCCCCAGTAGCCGCCCCTGCGCCTAGGAGCCGGACATGCTGGCCGCTTCCAGGAGCCGTGTGGAGCCAGGGCAGGCGGAGAGCCAGCCTTAGCCCCGCTGTGCCACTGACTGGACTTTTAGTGGCCCAGTCAGCAGTGCTGAACGGAGCCGCCAGGGTCCCTTTTTGACCGGGCGTTCCAGTCGAAAACTGGATGCCTGGCAACCCTACCTAAACCCCAACACCCTCCCCACCCCACCACCGGCTCACTTGCCCCGGAGCACCCAGCTGATCTCAGTGGTTGTATTATCTTTCCATTGACTTCATGTTCCTTTAATAAACTCTTTACGAAAACAACAGCAATGACAACAAGCAGAGTTGGTGAGGGATTGCAAACAGTGCAGTGATTGGAGTATGTGTTACTGACCTGGAGGAGACCTATACATGCATTAAATGCCAAAATTGAGCTATAAACCAGAGATTTTTCTGTATTCTATCCAACAAGGGATCACTGATTTTATTGTCCCGTTGTTCATTACAGTTAGATGTAACAAAATATTCTAAGAGCCTCATGAGGTGCACTGTGGGTTCCATCAACATTTCACTGGCATTGATGTGGGGGGGCATTGGGTGAGACATGTCTTAAATTCTCAAACAAAAACTAAGACAGCACTTTGCTGCATTTAAAACATTTTATTTTTAATCTTTACATCCATTTCTTCAAAGCTTTTTATTTTTGGCATTTTATTTCAAAATCAATAAGTAACACAAACTTACCACAAACTGGAAGCGTGTATATAGGGGGTAATAGATGTGAAGGATAATTTTGTTAGTTTTAAAATCTGACGGCTCTTTAATTTATACCTCCTTTTTCTGGCTAGGACTTAGAAATCTCCTGTGAAGGAGCTTCCTTGCACAGTGGGCACTGCTTTGTGGAAGATTTAGAAGGAAACTTGCCTTTAAATTCAGCTCACAAACTTATCATGAAAATTTGCACGTCCATGTCTAAGTTTTACTTGCCCACACTCATTTTCATGGTGTGGGTAATATTTTGCAAGGCTGCCTTAAGGATCTTTATCTAAGCCAATCCTGTCTCAATATCTGTGCTTTTCTTTCTCTCCTGTGAAGTAGTTGCTGCTTTCCTTGCTGAGTAGGAGGATTATGCAGCCTTCCTTTACGTTCACCTCATTGTCATTGTGCACTAATAGATATTCTGCTGCAGAGTGTGTTAGCTATACTCTCTGTTGCTAATATGTTAAGAGTGGCACTAACACTTTGCTTGCTGGCCCCTCTGTCCAGTCTGCAGCACTCATTTGTTCCCTTGCAGCAACAGAGCATGGCACACCCTTCTCTCTTCTTCCCTCATCCCTGCCTATGGTTCTGACCCACTCAGAAAACAAATGGGCTAAAACAGGGAGTTATACCTCTAAATTCTTTCAGAGAAGAGGCAGCACCGTGGTTAAAATTTTACAGGGGAATGATGACAGTGATTGTGCTTTCTTTACAGGGAAAGTGAACTGGTTGTGGGAGTTGTACCTCTCTAGTGCAGACAGACCAGGGATCTTCCACCACAGGCTAGGACACATTAATCTGATGCTTTTCTCGTTGATATTTATGTTGGCAAAAATATAGCCGGAAGCAAAAAAAATGAGAGGCTGCCACTAAATCAGTTAAATAAATTCCCCAAAGAAGAACTCACTTTACCCCTAGATTGCTGGAAGGAATCTAGCAGAACTTATGTATATTAAGTTGGTTATCAGTCAGTTTTCTAGTGGCGAGAGATCCATGTCATAATCACAACTTTTTGCTATTCTCATCTGAGAAACCAAAGACTGAAAGTGAATGGAAGCTGAATTGTCTTCCTGCCCCTAGAAGCTGATTCTTCAAATCCGGGATGAGGGAGATAGTGACAGAGGAAGCTTGTGCTGCTGCCTGTACTATTCAGTACTTCTTATATGGATAAGTAGAAGATTGTAGGTTTCCAGCATTCAGCCACCTGTGGCTTCTGTGTGTGAATATAGTGCTCACATTTGGAAAAAAAAATACTTCACACTTATTCACTCCAGCAAGATATTTCTAATCCTATTAAGATATATGCAGCTGGCACATGATTCATACAGACAGAACTGAGTCTATCCTGTTAGACTCCAGTTTGTCCATAGTTCTGTTTCTCTTGCTACTTGTATTAAAATCCATCTGGGGAATCTCCCAGCATTGACCCTCCCTATTCGCTGCTCATACAGAATTAATAGTCTTACCCAAAAATATTCAGTGAGTTACAACAGCTGTCAATGGTTCCTTACTGAGAAAGTTTTTCTATTGAAAGTGCTCTTTACCGCTAAACTTTTGTGGGTTAACTATTAATCCAAGTAAGCTGCTTCAGGAGGTTACAGCCACACTGGTAAGCTTTTCAAATATGGATGGCATTTTTGAGTAAGTACAGGGCTGGGCCAGGAGGAAGCTTTGAAGTCATAGTTGCACAAACCCAGTTTCAAAATCAGTGTTTTACACACTATTTGGGAGGTGTCTGCAGCTTTAGCTCCAAAAGAATAATCTGAAAGCAAACAACTTTATCCAAGGGTTTATAGCATTTCAGGCAATTACACCATTATGAAATCTGCTGAATGAAATCCAGTAGATGAATGTGTGGTGCAGTTTGTTTTTTTCGTTCACACGTTCTTTATTATTGGGAAGCCCTTGACTCCTGGTTTCATTCCTACACCAGAAATAACCACCCTAATAAATTGTCCAACCATCTCATATTTCATTGCTAGGTAAATGAATACTACTTTTAAAAAATGTGGGAAGACCACAAAAAAATGAATCATGGAAGCCTAGCTTGTGGTGACCAAGTTGTGAATAACTGACTTCCAGCCTTGCCACTAGGGTAATTCAGAATAGGATGACACAAAGTGCTACAACACTTCCATGAATGACATGGAAGATGGGTAAACAGCATGCAAATTAAAGTAAGATACTACTCAAATTAGGAGGTGTTGCAAACACCAATGAGGCCTGAAAATTTTTTTACAAAATGAAGTCTGACCTGGACCAAGCCAAGCTATGTATCTGGGGAAAACCAGTCTGACACAATTTCTTTAAATTTATATCGCAGAAAGTAATGCTGGTGAGACATAAGAGTGAGAGTAGACCGCCATTGAGATCTGAACATCCAGTGTGATACAGTGGTAAAAAATGCCAATACAGTTTTGGACTGCAGATGTAGAGACATCAGATCATGGAAAAGGGAGGTGTTAATTCTCCCTTATACTTACTGAAAAGTCCACCTAATACCACATTCAGTTCTGGGTACCTCAATACCAGTAAGGTATCAGAGTCAAGGCAACTTACAGAAGAGTAACCTAAAGTCCCATTGTTTTTTATTGATTGTTTTTTCTTCCTGGAGCTGTTCCCTGTGGTATAAGTTGTATTGCTTTGTTTTACTCTGATTCAAATCACTCCAACACTGGGACTTCCTCCATTTGCATTGGAGATTATTCTACCATCTAACAACTCTCACTACTAGCAATTTGTCCTTCGCTGATTTTTATCTCATTACTTCTAATCAATACCATTATGGACCACACTAAAATTAATATCCTTTCCTGGTGTTTATACCCTTCCAATCTTTGTAAAGATATCTAAGCCCTCATGGGAATTACTAAACCAAGCTATAAATATTTACACCTTTTGTTAATCCATATCACCATTCCCCTTAATCATTTTTTGTTGTACCAGGGAGTTGGGCTAGATCAGTACAGCACAACCTTTGCAGCAGCAAGAGCTGCATTCGCAGGTTGCCAGGAAGCCTGAGGGCTGCACCTAATTTCCATATATATTTACATAGGATTTTTATCAGAAATAAACCACACCGTAGCATTTATTTATAGAGTATTGTAAGTGTATGCAGCATTTTACAAAACACAGAGTCTGCTTTGAGGGCTTAGAGAGAAGTAAAATGTTTGGGGAAATAGTCTTTTACTTAGCCACTAAGGCCCTCTGCCACCCCCTCCCCCCCGCTTTTTTTTTTTTTTTTTTTACACACATTGCAGCTGGCAGTTAATAGTGGCCACCTTGCTAAAAATAAGCAGTGACTTTTGTGATAGTGGTAGCATGAGGATTCAGGGTCAGAAGCTGTTTAAAAAACGAAACAAAACCCACAAACTTCATGCTACTTGAATTCTGGTTTAGACATTAATGTGAAAAGCAGTTAAAGGTTTGTTGCAATAATAACATGTATTCACATATATAGTTAAATAAGTATACACTGAAGGCTGGGACAAGACACCACCTTTACTAGGCAACCATTTGCCCTAAGAAATCCCAAAGTATTCTCAAATCTGTTGAGTCTAATTCTGCTCCACCTCTATTAAAATACACCTGTTTAGCAAGTAAACTTTTGTTGATCTCATGAGTTTGCTTAAGACAGGTTTCATGCTATTAAAGTAAGACAGACTTCTTTGCATTTGACTTGCATGCTGCCAATTTTATAAGCCTCATGTAAGATGCCATCACAAGGTGGATGAGAGAAAAGGAGGGATTGGAGCACAAATACCATTTGTAATTTGTGATTGCAGTATGCTTTGAATACCAGTTAACTTTATCTAAGTATTTATGGCTTTCAATTCCAGATTATCTGTCCAGGGTCATCTTTTAATTAGTTGGGGCTCTTGAGAGGTGTCAGAATACACTATTTCCCATGAGTAAATAGATGGGACCTCATCACAAAAACAAAACAAAACAAAACATAAAAATCTTACGCCAAGGAGGAGAAAAAATAAACATAGAATTAAAAAGTTGAGCAAACTTTTCCTGTGCTATTTCCATTTGTCCTTCTATATACTGTTTATCATAGTGCAAAGGTACATTGTGTACATTTCTCCAAAGCTTTTATCCAAAGGTTTTTAAAAGGCAGTTGCACCTGAGATGTTAATTGGTAATTTACAAATGCAAATAATGGTATAGCCAATTGCTACTGCATATTAAGAACATACATTTTCAAACTAAGTTTTTTCTCCCAACTGTGACCTCTGTCTTACCTTTCATGCTGAGTAAAATGGGTTGTTTCCTTTTCAGTAAGAACCAAAGTGAAGCAGAGCAAAACTTGACTACCTTCGGACATTTTCTTTTTCATAATTGGTTGCTCTTCACCTTGGCTTGACCTTTCACATTTTGTTTCAGGTTGCTTTTTCATGTTCAGGAAGGAAGGAGTGGTCATTCATTTCAGCATCTATGGTGCAACTAGCAGTGGCTGCAAAGTGGCTCCTCCTAGCAGAAGAAAATTTACAAACAACGCAGGTTTATGGTGGTAGCAGATTTTGTAGGATTTTCATGCTTTAAGAGTAGGGGAAAATGGAAAAGCAGAGAAAGACATAGCACCACCATGTAAGACATTTAGCCTTGGACTGGTAGCTCTTTGGGACAGGAACAATCTTTCCATTTTGTTTATACAGTGTCTAGTACAGGGGTTGGCAGTCTTTGGCATGCAGCATCAGGGTAATCCACTGGCGGGCTGTGAGACATTTTATTTACATTGACCGTCCACAGGCACGGCCCCCCGCAGCTACCAGTGGCTGCAGTTCATTGTTCCCAGCCAATGGGAGCTGTGGGAAGCAGTGTCCAGCACGTCCCTGTGGGCTGCCGCCTGCTGCTTCCATTGGCCGGGAACGGTGAACTGCGGCCACTGGGAGCTGCGGGGGGCCATGCCTGCGGACGGTCAACATAAACAAAATGTCTCACGGCCCACCAGCGGATTATCCTGATGCGCCGGGTGCTGAATATTGCCAACCCCTGGTCTAATACAATGGGATCGTCTTCCATGACTGAGATTCCTACATGCTATTGCAAAACAAATAAATGACCTTTTTCTGGAACAGTGGTGGTTTATTTCAGTAACGCTACAAAAATACAGTGGGTAAGTAAATTACATGTGTGGTTCTTTTGGGAATAGGTTTATGAACTGATGGAGTGGATGAGATAACATGTCTTGCATGTGATCTGTTAATTATTAATTCTGAACTGGAAAATTATCCTACCGTGAACCATTTCTTGCCCACTGAAACTTAGAAAATGGAACAGACTGTTACACAAGTTCTTAGACCTTGGCACCAAATGTAAAGCTCATCTTAAAGTGTTGCTAAAACTAATTTTTTCTGTGGCTAGTGTGATTAAACTGATAGCTCCTCAAGAAGAAAAAAAAACTTACAGCAGACATAAACAGTTAAAAATAAACCAAAAAACCTTTTCATTTTCAGCTAGTCAGTCATAATTTTAATTAGGAATTCCACTAACATCCATCCTTCCCTCACCTTCCTTTCTGTCAAGATAGAACATCATAAACAGGAGCAAAAAATCTCCACTGGAATATTATTGTAAAAGTTAATAATAATATAATTGAGCAGACATTTCTTCCACTAATCTTCATCTGGAATTGATTATTGCTGAAAACTGTTAATTTCAAATCTGGAGTGTGATGGGATAAAAATTAACTTCCTGTGGAATATTACCAAAACAGATACTGCACACAAAATGTCTTACCACCATTTATGTTGTAATAGGACCCAAAACCACAAGATGGCAGTGTCCTTAAGTACATATGCAACACATATAAAGTATCAAATAAGGCAATTGTACTTCAATCTGTGTAGAGAGAGGATAGGCTTAAAACATTTTGAATGGGGTTGGGGGACATTTTTCTTCTCCATAATTCAGATTACCAAGCCAGCTGTTCATTATTAGTCATGTCATCATGGTTTTTTCTATGTAATGTTTCTATGTAATGGAGGTTGGGAGAAGAGTGAAAAAGGGTTTCCTATGAAGGTCCAAATAAATGGACTACATTTCCCTACTGATATTAAAAAATATTGTAGGATTTGTTTAAAAAAAAAAAAACTTGAAGCTATTTTATAAGCTAAGTAAATTTTTAGAGTTGGATTGACTCAAGTTCTCTATCCACCCCACAGGCAGCCACCCTGCTAATTTACCTCAACCCTGTTCTGGCAAGAATGCTTCTGTCTGAGAAGTGCTATTTGGTCACTGTGGCCAAATCATCACTTGGCCTTAACTGAAGAGACTGCCAACAAGTTAACTGCACTTGAGATTTGTCTATTGGAAATTGTACTGAGATTTCCAAACTCATATTTTATAGAAAGGCTTGGAAGGATTAGCTTGTTATTGAAAAATATCATGAAACATCAATTCCACCATATACACACAAACCAATGAAAAAATATTTCAATTGATAATAATAAAAACTTACAAATAGGCAGGGTAAGAAAAATGCTGCTTGAGAACTTAGAGTTTAATTTAACGATAGTTTGTATATTTTCACAATTTGTGTTTTAACAGTTCTAAAACTTTAATTTGTTGAATCTCAACATCTGTCATTAAATAATTGACAATCCCACCCATAATTTTGTGTAATTGAAAATTTAAACTGATAAAAATGCTTAAAAATAAATATTTTGATATTCTCAATTATAAAAAAAAATTGATTCTGCCAAGTCTACTTTTAAGCCATTGAACGATGGTAATAATTTATGGAGCTGACTCAAATTGGTAACTTGAAATGCTTGTCATTACACAGTGCCATAGATGGGTGCATGCTACCTTATGTGTTTCTGACTCAAGGAATACATTGACAGAAGCTTCTTTTGTGAATGAGTAAGGGAAGGAGATAAACAGTGGAGGGGAATGCTGATCTTTTCCACTCAAGGAGGAAATCAGTACAGTTTAAATGGAAAATCTGCTTACCTCGATTACCAAATCCCTGAGCCAGCCACACTTTAGAGTTTTAGAAAGATTTAAATCTTTTACAATTCTTGATTTGTTATAAATTAAACTTTTTATTGCAATGCAGTTATTTTATAAAGGAGTGATTGTATTGTGTCAATTCAGAATGAAGTGGGGGCGGGGAAAGAGGAAGAAGAGATGCTGAAAGGAAATTTGTGATCTTAAAAGGAAAAATGCGGGTGTGGGTTTTGAAGCAATCGCTCTGGAAATCTTTGTAAATTATGCATTTTAAAAAAAGATAGAACATCCTTCCCTTTTCTAACAATTATTTTCTCTGAAGCACCCTGAGTTTTTTCCCTTTTAAATGGTGAAGCTGAACAATTTAGAGGCTCTGTAGAGTGAAGGAGAGGGTTTGATATGACACAAGCGTCAAACCACTGCAATGTTCAAGTGTAACTAGAATCTCTTTGTATTTTATTTGTATAGTGTTTCTCATGCAAGCATTCCTAGTGCTTTGTGTGATCGTTACTTTGAATAATACAGCTGCTGTTATGGCAAAGACAGTTAAAGGGGTTACTCCAAAAAGAAAAAAAAAACATTGCTCAATCATTATTTAAGTCACCTATTCACTACAAGCTGCTGCTTTTGAAATCTAGAATACGGATTTGGAAAGCACTTTTCACACACTAGTTCTCTTTAAATTTTAAACTCATTGTTTTGTAAGTCAGATGGAGTGTTATGCAGTGATACACAGCTTTGACTAACTGCCACTTATTAAAGGATTAGACTCTTATTAAAGGAAGAATTGTTGTCCAGAACACTAGACTTATCACTTTTCAAAAGAAACTTGCACTCTTTAACTGCCATCTGTATTCTAACTGAAGAGAGTGGTGTAGCAAATTTCACACGTGTGTTTCTGAGCTACCAGTAACACACCAATAGGGAAAGTTAAACTACCATGTAGCATGTGAACACAAATTCTTAATTGCTTTGGTTAAAAATTATACTCTTGTACTTTGTTTCAGGAAGAAAATGTGACTGTGACAAAGGATTTTAGTAGAGTAGAAAATGCTTATCAAATGGAAGCAGAGGTATGTATTAATCATAGCAAGAGGAATAACCATGCACCCAGACATAGTGAGTTTGTAGGTTTAGTCTTTTCTCCTCAAAACTAGGAAGGAACAGTTACATACAGTACAGCACTGAGACTTTCCTAAAAGAGCCAGTATGAAGTAGTAAAATTAAAAAGGCACCCCACAGAATTTTGCAAGAAGTAAGCTAGGTTCTGGGGTGACAGAGCAAGATTTTTTTTCATTCTTTGCTGTAGAGAGGAGCCCATTCACCCCATGATAACAGGGAAGCTATACTACATATGCTGGATGTTAAGAGAGCCTTGGCCTTCTATTTGGATAGGATGAAGGCCTTTAGGAAATCTCCCAAACTCTTCCTATCAATTGCAGAAAGATCAAAAGGCACAGCGATATCAGCTCTGAGGCTCTCTAAATGGGTCTCGAGCTGTATTAGCTACTGCTATCATGCTCGTAATTTGGTACCTCCACCTGGAATCTATACATTCCACGAAGTCGGTTTCCACCTCAGTCGCCTGAATTAAAGACATAACTATTCTGGAAATCTGCAGGGCAGAAACCTGGGTGTCTGCTCGTACTTTTGCAGAATATTATCCGATTACTAGAGACTCTGCTTCTGTTGCCATCTTCAGTTCCACAGTACTGTCATGCATAATGGATTTGACTCTAAAGTCCCAACCCTCCATTGGAGATACTGCTTGGGAGTCACCTACAGTGGAGCACCAATAGGGACACTACTCAAGTAATTACTCACCTTGTGAAGTAACAATGGTTCCCCACAACCAATCCACCCTCCGTCTACTTCAGAATTCTCAATAGGGGCTCTGCAGTAGAGAAGGACCTGAGGATGGTTCACCTGCACATTGCTAATTAGCCTCGCAGCAGAGCACAAGGGAGGGAGGAGAGCGCATGTGTGGACCAAATGGACACTGCTACTAAAGATCTCTGATCAGAGGCACAGGGTGCAGACACACCTACAGTGGAGCACATAGAGAGACACACATCTTGAAGAACCATCATTACTGCACAAGGTGAATAACTTTCTCTTATGTGAGTAATCCCACTAACACCAAGGGGACTATGTATGTGAATAGGGCTTTGCATGAGTAGGCCCTTACCAAGCAGGAAGTGCTGTACTGGGAGTCAATCTAGCTAAGGAAAAGCACCATTTTTTTCAGTCCATGAACCTTTGCAATGCAGCATGCTAATTAGACCACTATCCAATAGCTTGATAATGTGTTTTGTGGAGGGGGCCTGGAAGTTTGCATCACTGATAGTTACTTGCAACTCCATAGTTAAAGTACAGTTCCATTTTGCACTTAAAGGAGGGAGAGAGCTTCTTTGGTTTGTATGAAGAACATAGCATATCCACCTCAAATTTACAGCACCGCGTACAGAAAGAATGTTGAGAATTACACTTATTTGTTTTTAGGAGTTAAAATTAAACTGGGTCCTTTAAGAAATACGTCAGTATTTTGCCTTGGTCCTGAACTATCTTAACTGAATACTGCAGATGCTTTAAACTTCCCATGTAGTTGGAAGTAATTGAAGTCTTGTGAATGGGCTATATTTGAAAAATTAAGGTAAGCTATTAATGAGGTATCAAATTGTTTTTATATAGACTACAGCAAGGCTTAGGTCAACAGCTGAACTAATTCTTAAATAGAGTCATATTGATAGAGAGAACTCAACCAATCGCCAGTTTTTCTCTACCATTTTCTGCAACCCACCATCTCCCGCAGTTCTGCTAGGCATGGGACTGCTCTCCTCGCTGTTGTTTCCTGAGCAGGTTCTGAGCTGCAGCACAGCTTGTGCTGGCCAACCCTCCTCCTCCCCAATATCCTGCCTCCGCAGCAGCAGGTTGCTTAACTCACATCCTTTAAAGTTACTGCTTAGGCTGTTTTTTGGGCAGCTTGAGCATTTTGATTTGCTTCAAGCCTTCTTCTGGTCCAGGATTTGAGCAGCCTGGTGGACATAGCCACCCACAGCCTCCATTGCCCCTTCTCAGGCATGGCAGACCAGCCACGTAAGCAGTGGGCACAATCAAGAAGGTGCTCTGTATGCAAGGCGGCAGCTTTCTCGGGTGCTCAGCCAAAGATGAAAGATGCCCAGGCTGCTCCCAATCAGAGGACTTAACTCTGCTAGAACACAGAGCTCTGAATGGGACAGGCAATATTAGGTCCCCTACACACCCAAAGAGTAGTGACTCCACCACAGAGAAACCCAACCAGGAGACACAGGGCAGAACAGACAGAGGCTCTAAGGATGAAGAGGATTTCATCCAGCTTACCCAGGAGGTAAGTCCTGAAGTAAAACAGGATTGCAAAGATATGAACCCTACTCAGATACCGGTCCCAACAGGTCCTGAAGTGGGCCCTTGTTTCCTGAGGGAGAGATGCCAGGCTCATAAATTACTACCTTCCCAATCCAGGTCAAGGAACTCAGATAAGGAGATGCCACCCTGGAGGAATAGGACTCTGATGGAGAAGACTCTGAAAGAGAATGCTGTAGAAGGCTTTGGGCTCTGCCTAAAGCAAGTGGCAAGAAACTGCGTTCTGGCCATGCCAGAGTAGCCATGCTCACAAACCATGCCAAAAAAGCCCAGAATGAACAAAAACGGAAAGAAAGTACAAAAAATCTTCCCAGCACTTCTCCTCTAACTCAACTTCCTCCTCTACCGAGGAAGGAGAGCTGTCAGGTTCTGAATCTGAGCAGGACTCAGGGAAAATGTAGCAAAAATATTCCTCCCCCCAAAAAGTTTGAGGTCATGTGCAAAAGATTGTGTCCACAATATTTATCCAACCTCAGTAAGCTCCTGAGCACAAGCCTTGAAGTAAATACCTCCCCTCAAAATCCTCCCTCAAGGTTCTGATTCCCTTGCACTCCTTTTTTGGAGGCATGATTAGGGAGAAGTGAAAAACTCAGCAGGGGTAAGACCATTAACATATATGACCTTAGATTTTTACAAACTCCAAGAGCCTAAAAGTTCTATTAGTGAGGTTTCAAAAGTAGATGCTGCAGTAGCATCCTTAGCAAGATACATGATTATTCTGTCTGAAGGGGAATTCTTTCCTAAGGACCCCACAGATAGGGAAGTGGAGGCCACCCACACTCTGGCAAGTCAAGTATAATTAGGCAGGCCAAAAAACAACTTGAAGAGCAACTAGCAAAAGACACAAAAACTAACAGCAAAAATTGTATTAAGTGCTTCAGAAACAAGCCTATCTAAGGGCTTGTCTACACTGGCAATTTACAGCGCTGCAACGTTCTCGCTCAGGGGTGTGAAAAAACACCCCCTTGAGCGCAGCAAGTTTCAGTACTGTAAACCGCCAGTGCACCAGCACTGGGAGCCACACCCCTCGTAGAGGTGGGTTTTTTAGAGCACTGGGAGAGCTCTCTCCCAGCGCTCTGCCGTGACCACACAAGCCACGTTAAAGTGCTGCCACGGCAGCGCTTTAGCGTTGCCAGTGTAGACTAGACCATACAATCAGTGAGGCCTCTGGATGATCAAAGTGCTAAAGAAGTCCTTAAGCCAGACAGGATTGATACGGAGAAGCTAAATGAATTCTTTGAATCACTGCAGAGGATGTGAAGATAGTCCCACACCTGAGCCAGTCTTTTTAGGTGACAGATCTAAGGAACTGTCCCAGATTGAGGTGTTGATAGAGGAGGTTTTGGAACAAATTGATAAATTAAACCATAATAAGTCACCAGGACCAGATGGAACTCAAATATGAAATTATAAAACTTCTAATGTGGTATGTAACCTATTCAATATTGATAAATGCAAAGTAATGCACATTGGAAAACATAATTCCAACTAAACATATAAAATGATGGGGTCTAAATTAGCTGTTACCACTTAAGAAAGAAGGTAGTTCTCTGAAAACATCCACTCAGTGTGCAGCGGCAGTCAAAAAAGTGAACAGAATGTTGGGAATCATTAAGAAAGGGATAGATAATAAGACAGAAAATATCATATTGCCTCTATATAAATCAAAGACCAAGACTATAACTGTTTAAAAAAGAACTTGATAAGTTCATGGAGGATAGGTCCATCAATGGCTATTAGCCAGGATAGACAGGGATGGTGTCCCTAGCTCTGTTTGCCAGAAGCTGGGAATGGGCGACAGCGGATGGATCACCTGTTCTGTTCATTCCCTCTGGGGCACCTGGCATTGTCCACTGTCTGAAGACAGGATACTTGGCTAAATGGACCTTTGGTCTGACCCAGTATGGCCGTTCTCGTGTTCTATTGCTTAAATCATCTTCTGTACCAAATGATGGGAGGATAACTAATGTAACGCCAAGTTTTTAAAAAGGCTCCAGAGATGATCCTGGCAATTGCAGGCCAGTAAGCCTACCTTCAATATCAGGCAAATTGGTTGAAACTATAGTAAAAGAACAGAATTATCAGACACATAGATGAACACAATATTTTGGGGAAGAGTCAACATGGCTTTTTGTAAAGGGAAATCATGCCTCAGCAATTTATTAGAATTCTTGGGGGGGAGGGGAGTGTTAACAAACATGTGGACAAAGTTGATCCAGTGGATATAGTGTATTTGGAATTTCAGAAAGTCTTTCATAAGTTTCATCACCAAAGGCTCTTAAGCGAAATAAGCAGTCAGTCATGGGAAAAGAGGGAAGGTCTTTTCATAGATCAGTAACTGGATAAAAGACAGGAAACAAAAGGTAGGAATAAATAGTTTTCACGGTGGAGAGAGGTAAATAACGGGGGCCCACAGGGATCTGTACTAGAACTAGTGCTGTTTAGCATATTCATAAATGATCTGGAAAAAGGAATAAACAACGCAGTGGCAAAGTTTGAAGACGATACAAAGTTACTCAAGATAGTAAGTCCAAAGCTGACTGCAAAGAGTTACAAAGCGATCTCACAAAATTGGGTGGGTGGGCAACAAAATGGCAAATGAAATTCAGTGTTGATAAATGCAAAGTAATGCACATTGGAAAACATAATCCCAACTATATATATAAAATGA